TATTCTTTCTCAGTTTGTTCATTGTTGATGTATAGAAAACTAATGATTTTTGTAAGTTGATTTTATATCCTGCCACCTTGCTGTAGCTGTTTATGGTGTCTAAGAGTTTTTGGGTAGAGTTTTTTGGGTCTTTAAGATATAGGATCATGTCGTCTGCAAATAGGGATATTTTGACAGTTTCTTTACCTATTTGTATTCCTTTTATTTCTTCTTGCCTCATTGCTCTGGCTAGGAATTCCAGGACTATATTGAATAGGAGTGGGGGTAGTGGGCACCCTTGTCTCATTCCTCATTTTAGGAAAAATGGTTTCAGTTTTCTCCATTAAGTATGATGTTGGCTATAGGTTTGTCATATATAGCCTTTACAGTGTTGAGGTACATTCCTTCTATTCCTAGTGTTCTTAGAGGTGTTATCATGAAGTTGTGTTGGATCTTATCAAAGGCTTTTTCTGCATCTATTGAGATGATCAAGTGGTTTTTGTCTTTGCTTCTATTAATGTGCTGTATTACATTTATAGATTTGTGCATATTGAACCACCCCTGCATTCCTGGGATGAAGCTGACTTGGTCATGGTGAATGATCTTTCTAATATGTTGTTGGATTCAGTTTGCCATTATTTTTTTGAGGATTTTTGCATTGATGTTCATTAAGGAGATTGCCCTATAGTTCTCCTTTTGGAGTTGTCTTTGTCTGGTTTTGGGATAAGTGTAATACTGGTCATAAAATGAGTTATGCAGTGTTCCTTCCCTTTCTATCTCATGGAAAAGTTTAAGGAGAGTTGCTATTAGTTCTTCTTTAAACATCTGAAAGAATTCAGCTGAGAATCCATTATGTCTTGGACTTTTCTTTTTTGGGAGACTCTTCATTGCTGCTTCAATTTCATTTTGTGTTATAGATCTATTCAGATGATTAATGTCCTCTTGGTTCAACTTCAGGTCATCATAAGTATGTAGAAATTTGTCCATTTCTGCAAGATTTTCAAATTTATTGGAATATAGGTTTTCAAAGTAGTCTCTGATGATTCGGTGGATTTCTGTGGTGTTTGTTTTTACCTACCTTTTGCATTTCTGATTTTACTGATTTGGGGTTTTTCTCTCATTTTAGTCAGGTTTGCCAGGAGTCTGTCAATTTTGTTTATTTTTTCAAAGAATGAGCTTTTTGTTTCTTTGTATGGTTTTTTTGGGTTTCTATTTCATTAATTTTGGGCTTTATTTTTATTATTTATGTCCTTCTGCTTGTTTTGGGTTTTGCTTGTTATTGTTTTTCTAGGAGTTTGAGATACAGCATTAGGTCATTGATTTGAGATCTTTCTGTCCTTTTAATATGTGCACTCATGGCTATAAACTTTCATCTTAGGACTGACTTTGCTGTGTCTAGGTTCTGGTAGGTTGTGTTTTCATTTTCATTAACTTTGAGGAACCTCTTAATTTCCTCTTTTATTTCATCAGTGACCCAATGATCATTGAGCAATGGGTTCAGCTTCCAACTGTTTGCATGTTTTCTGCTGTTGTTTTTGTTGTTGATTTCTAGTTTTAATGCATTGTGATCAGATAGAATGCATGGGATTATTTCTATTTTCTTATATTTGCTGAGGCTTGCTTTGTGCCCTAAGATATGATCAATTTTGGAATAAGTTCCATGAGCTGTTGAGAAGAATGTGTATTGTGCAGCAGTTGGGTGAAATATTCTGTAGACGTCAGCTGGGTCCATTTGGTCTATGGTGTGATTTAGTTCTAGAATTTCTTTACTGATTTTTTGTTTGGATGACCTATCAGTGATAGGGGGGTGTTAAAGTCTCCCTCTACCACTATGTTGGGGTGTCTATATATGCTTTTGTGTCCTTCAGAGTATGTTTGATGAAATTGGTTGCCCTGACATTGGATGCATATAGGTTGATAATTGTTACTCCTTTTGATGTATTTCCCCTTTTATTAGTATATTGTGTCCTTCTTTATCTCATTTGATAAATGTAAGTTTGTAGTCTACTTTCTCCGAGATAAGTATTGCTACTTCTGCCTGTTTTAGGGGGCCATTGGCTTGGTAAATCTTCTTCCAGCCTTTCACCCTAAGCCAGTGCTCGTTTATGTCAATGAGATGTGTCTCCTGTAAACAACAGATTGTTGGGTCTTCATTATTAATCCAGTTTGCCAGACGGTGTATTTTGATGGCGGAGTTCAGTCTGTTAACATTCAGTGTTAATATTGATAGGTATGTGGTGTTTCCTGTCATTTAGTTGTTTTTGTTGTTTAAGGGTTTGATTGTGTGCAGCTGAATCAGTGTTACTCTCTGATTCCTTGTCTTTTCTTCTCCTGTGGTTTGGTACTGCCTGTTGTCTCATGGTTTTGTTTGCTTTCATTTTCTGTGTGTAGTATTCCTTGAAGTATCTTTTGTAGTGGTGGCTTGGTGGTCATATATTGTTTTAGTTTCTGTTTATCATGGAAGACTTTTATTGCTCCATCTATTTTGAATGATAGTTTTGCTGGTAGAGTATCCTAGGATTGAAGTTGTTTTCATTCAGTGCCCGGATAACTCTATGCCCTTCTTGCTTTTAAGGTTTCTGTTGAGAAGTCTGCTGTGATTTTGATTGGTTTACTTTTGTATGTTATTAGTCTTTATTCTCTTACAGCCTTCAGTATTCTTTCTCTATTGTCTGTACTTGCTGTTTTAATGATAATATGTCATGGGGTAGTTCTATTTTGGTCAAGTCTGTTTGGTGTCCTGGAGTCTTCCTGTACCAAAATGGGCATAGCTTTCTCTAGGTTTGGATATTTTTCTGTTATAATTTTGTTGACTATATTTCACATTCCTTTTGCTTGCACCTCTTCTTCTTCAATGCCCGTGATTCTCAGGTGTGGTCTTTAGATGGAGTCTGTGAGTTCTTGCATATTCCTTTTGCAGGTCTTGAGTTGTTTGACTAATAGCTCTTTGGTTTTTCCTTTAATTTCCATTTATTTTCAAGTTCTGAGATTCTGTCTTCCACTTGTTCTAGTCTGCTGGAGTGGCCTTCCATTGTGTTTTGTATTTCTGTTTCATCCTTTTTTTCTGAGGTTTTCCATATCATGGGTCACTTCCTCTTTAATATTGTCTATTTTCATCTTTAATTCACTTATCTATTTATAGTGTTCTCTGTTTCATTTTGATGTTTATTTAGGGATCCTATGAGTTCATTTATTTGTTTCTGTGTCTTGTTATATTCTTCATTTTTGGTGTCTTGATATTTCTTGAGTGCCTGTTGTACATTTTGGTTAACCATGCCCAGTAACATCTCTATGAAATTCTCTATGATTACTTGCAGGATTTCTTTTCTCAGGATGTTCTTGTGGGACTTGTTGGGTTTCTTGGCATCATTTATCTTTGTTTTGTTGGAGTCCAGAATTGGGTTTCCATTTTCTTCATTTCCCTCTGTATCCTGTATTAAATTAATTTTTGGTGGTGAATGGTTTCCATCCCTTTTTCGTCTTGCCATTGCTCCACTTGGTCCTGTGCAACTATGTTCTTGATAGGCTACTTGGTGGTTTCAGTCATGTGTTTTCCTTCCCTTGGTTAATTTTGTTTTGTGACTGTATTTGGTTTGTAGCTAAGTGTGTGTGTGTGTGTGTGTGTGTGTGTGTGTGTGTGTGTGTGTGTTATTTGTGTCACTGATCTGGGTGTAATTTAGTATTTGCTAATTCACAATAGGAAAACTAGCAACAATGACAACAACAAAAACCTAAAGAAATCAGTGTGGAGAGATGAACAAACAAACACAAACAAAGAAGAAACAGAACAAACAAACAAACACAAATTCCTGTGTTATTCCTCCAGCATCCAATCCTGGTGTTGTTAAGCAGAAGCTCTGTGGTAGTCTCACCAGGTGGTTGAGAGCTGTCTTTCAGAGTCAGCTCCTCCCTCAGTGGGGTGTGGCTGTTTAAATTTGTATGTTGTCCTCACGTTCTGGAATCAGCTCTGTAGCCCACCAGCAGTCCTGCTTTGGATTTGGAATTTCACAGTGCTTGATTACTGGGGGCTTGTTTGTTTGCCTTGCCCCCTTTCTCTGGGGCAAGTTCAGTGATCCGTCAGCCAGCCCCCTACTGTCAGTTGGTTATGATGGTTTGCTGATTATTTTTCAATGTTGCAGTGTCATTTGACTTTGGGTGTTGCTCACTGGCTCAGAAGATGAGCTTTTTGGACTGCTACTTGCCCTATTTCAGGAAGCAGCTTATCACCCACCCACTATTGGCCTTCTGCCTTTCCAGCCTTTGTTTGGTAAAAGTTCACATGGAGATCAGATCCTTGCTTTTCCCCCTTCTCTGGTGCACTTTCAGCAACTCTGTCCCTCTGCTGTGTGTTAGTTTTCAGTTTTTTAATTCCTTGTTTATTGCTCATTTTTTTTTGTGGGGGGGAGTCAGTCTGCCCAGGGGGCTATGCTGGTTTATCTCAGGAGTGACTGGGGAAATACCATGTGATGCTTGGTGCTCACCTGTTGGTCTGCCAAATTTTTCCCAAGCAGGTTTTGAGTCAGCCTCTGGCAGTGTGGCAGCCCTCCTTTCTCAGTATAATGTGGTGTGGAAAAACTTTCCATGGGCTAGGGGTTCAGGGTGTCAAAGTTTTGATTCTCCTTGCTGATTTATTTCCTGCAAGTGTGGCTCCAGCATCTCCATGAGGTTTTGAAGTCACGGAGCTCACGCCATATGCTTTTGTACCCTAGTTGCCATCTTGGATCCCTCTCGGTAGTTTTAACTTTTGTATGAAGACCACTTGGTAATAGCTTTGAGTTTTTCCTGACAGGTTTTCTTTCTTCCTTCCTTTCTTTCTTCATTCCTTCATTCATTTGTTCTTTCATTCCTTCCTTCCTCCCTCTCCCTCTTCTCCTCTTAGTCCTCTTCTTCCTCCCCCTCCTCTTCCTTATCCTTCTTTTTTGGTGGTTCTGGGGTTTGAACTCAGGACTTCATGCTTGGTTGGCAGGTGCTCTACCACTTGAACCACATCTCCAGCCACCTTTCTCTTCTTTTTGATGTAGGTTTTTGGGCCCGGATAGGAGTGGAATGGCCCTTATGGAAGTCAATCTTCTCAGTGGCTTTACTGTGCCTTCTGGTGCAATTCCTCTGAGTGAGATAGTGAAGAAAGTTGAACATGATCCTGGAAAACTCAACCTTTATTTAGATTCTGTAAGTAGCAAAGCATAAGTTTCATAAAGGTCGTTACTGAAAAAGCTACCATTTATTATGCTCAAAAGTCTATCTCATTTTAAGCATGCTTTCTGTATGTCATTGCTATTTCAGCTTTTTGTGGTCCTAAAAGACTTTGAAATGGAAACCCTATGTCTTCATTAAAAAAGACATCACTATGAAATTAGTTTAGTTACTATTAATGATGAGCATGAGGAAGGTCTTGATAGCTAAATCATTGTTTCATGCCAAATGTAAAAAATATAGAGTTCCTCAGTATAATTTCAGAAATTCAGTCCAGATCTCAATTTGAGAGCCCCTCTCCCTTAGAGAATTGCTAAGCGTATTTGCTTAAAATACATGCAGGGTCTCTTGCATGTTAGGCAAGTGCTTTACCACTATGCCTCAAGTCCCTTTGTTTTTGTTTTTGTTTTTGAGAAGGGTTTTTACTAACTGAGCTAGTGACTTTCCTTCCTCTGTCTCCAAAGTCACTGGAATTATTCATGCACTACCGCATCCTGCAGAAGAAAGCTTCAATGGCAGCCTTTAAAATGCTTCCATGAAGTTTTCTTTAAACAAATCTCCCAATGGTTAATATACCTGCCTTGAAAAGTAAGGTGGTTAAGTCATAGAAGAATATTCTCAGAGGTGTGGTCTTGACAAAGTGTACTATTGATCCAAGAATAAGGTGCATAAAATATGCCAGGGAAATATAGGTGAAGAACTCCAGATTCTACTTGTTATGTCTCAAAATTACTAACTTGTAAGTTTATTCTTTTTTTCTAGCACCTATATGAAATTCATATGTTGAATTGAAATTGAGTCTTAGGATTTCATATAACATGGGAGGAACACATATGTTTCTTATTCTTACTCTAGTTTACCTAAATATGAGTCAGAAATATATTGCTAAATATTTACCTTTAAAAACAAGTATTCTTATTTGATTTTGCATTTCAAAAATGTCTTGTTAAAATGAATTTAGTCTTTAGATTCTGTGTTCAGGAATTTTCTTATATTAAATACTGCTTGAAAACCATTGTCTCAATTTGAAACTGGAAAATATTTAAACTTTTTATTAAATCCTGTTATTGATTTGAGAATCTGTCTTGTTTCTCTGATATTCTTGCTAATGGTTATCTTAATTTGAGTGTCCAATAATGTCTGATTAACTTGACTTTTCATTTACTGCTATTGGCAAGTAATGAATGTTTGAAGGAACTTACTAAGTTTTTTCTTTTGACCGTACTGGGGTTTGAACTCAGGGCCTCATGCTTGCTAGGCAGGTGCTATACCACTTGAGCAAGCCCTGTTTTGCATTGGGTATTTTCAAGATAGGGTCTTGCATACCATTTGCCCAGACTGGCTGGAGCCATGATCCTCCTGATCTTTGCCTCCTGAGTAGCTAAGATTATAGGTGTGAGCCACTGGTGCCAGTGATTCCTTAATTGGTAGTGTTTGTCATTTGTCATCAACAGCCCCTGCTGTCCTTTTGTACCCTATATCAATCAGTTGTTGAGTTGTTGTGGTGTGCACTGCCCCCTCCCCCTTCCCTGGGCTACCTCACTTAAGGTGAGCTGAGGGCAATTCTCTGCAGAAGGGAGCTTTTCTGTGGCCATTAGCAGCAACTACAGGTGGGGTGCACTGCCTAAGACAGGGGCAACTGAGTGAGGCACTATTGTTCCAGGTGCATGCGCCCTTGACTGTTTGTTTAGCAATTGTAATATCTCTTTCAGTAAAAAGGAACTAAGAATGATCCCTATCTTGAAAGGGTTGTTTTGCAAGTTAAAAAAGATCATTCCTAGAAGGTACTTTATGAAGTATCTGGTGCATATAACTCCTCCCTAAGTGTTAATTTCTGTTTACTAAAATTATAAGAAAAAGAAATGTCTCTTACTTTATTATGAACACATATTGTGCCAACCCCTTAAGAGTCCTTTGTATTTTTCAAGGTAAATGAAACCGAGTTTTGTGTTGATATTCCTGCTGTGAGAAACTTTAAAGTTTCAAATACCCAAGATGCTTCAGTATCCATCGTGGATTATTATGAGCCAAGTAAGTGGGATCCAGTGTCTCTGATGCTTTAGAAGTTAAGCCAGACTTCATTCATCCAATCATTCAAAGTGGATAGGCATTGGATTAGTTTTGTGGGGTGCTTGGTAGGCAAAGGTATGGGAGGTGGGGACACAGGAGGTGAGCTTTCCATTTACATGAAGACTTGGTAATTTACAAGGGTCACATGCAAAATGTTAATTTTTCATTTTTATGTAAATGTCACATTTTTTGCACATAATGTTTTAGGTTTTTAGCTCATAATCACAAATATTACAAGAAAAATTGAAATAGAAAATCTAATTATCCTTGGTTTCCAAGGTTTTGCTTAATTCCAAGCATCAGTTCCATGTGGTGCCTGTTGTGAAGTGGGTGTTCCTTAGGAACAGTGAGCAGTGCTCAAGGTGGAGTGGTGGTCCTTGGGGCTGGCTGTTTCTTCTCCAGGGATGCTGATATTTTGCTAAAGCTTACACATTACAACAGGTTTCTTTTTTTGTTAGTGCATTAAGAAAAATAGAGTCTGCTTAGAAAATAACTTTAGTGTCTCTGATTTGACTGGTAACTTCTTATGTTCTAAAACAGCAGGAATTTAGCATGGGGAAGTAGCTGTCTGGAGATCCTCAAGTTAACAATGAATAATTCCACTCAGTCTCGGTGTGCCTTTTTGTGAGTGTGTGATCTCTGACCTATGGTTTCTAATTGTAATTATTCTGATTCTGAGTAACCACTCATGGTGGCTCAGAATCATCAGAAAGCAAAGCCTGAGAAAGGAAAACATTTTCATGTGTTCGGAAGTTGCAGATAGTTAAACTTTATTTTTTTATTGTTTTATTCATTTATTCACACGTGCATACATTGTTTGGGTCATTTCTTCCCCCTACCCCCCTTCCCCACCCTCTGCCCTCCCCTCACTTCCAGGCAGAACCTGTTCTTCCCTTCTCTGTAATTTTGTTGAAGAAAAGACATAAGCATAATAAGCAGGACAAAGCATTTTTGCTAGTTGAGTTAAGGATAGCTATACAGAAAGATTCCTAGCATTGCGTTCCTGTACACATATGTTACAACCCATGTTGATTCATCTCTAACTGATCTTTACACTGGTTCCTGATCCCCTTCTCATGTTAACCTCTGTTGCTTTAAGGTTTCTGTATTAGTTCCTCTGGAGTGAGGACATCAAGTGCTTTCATGTTTTCGGTTTTCTGCCTATTCCTATATCTCCTGTATGTGCTCTCCCCTTGTCATGTGATCCAAGTCCAGCCACACTGCTACATTTGCCCTAGATCTAATGTCCAGATATGAGGGAGAACATACGATTTTTGGTTTTCTGAGCCTGGCTAACTTCGCTCAGAATGATGTTCTCCAGTACCATCCATTTACCTGCAAATGATAAGATTTCATTCTTCTTCATCGCTGAGTAAAATTCCATTGTGTACAAGTACCACATTTTCTTGATCCATTCATCTGGAAAAAATGTGGAGGCTTCTTAAAAATCTAAACATAGACCTGCCATATGATCCAGCAATCCCACTCCTGGGGATATACCCAAAGAAATGCAACACAGGTTACTCCAGAGGCACCTGCACACCCATGTTTATTGCAGCACTATTCACAATAGCCAAGTTGCCAAGTTATGGAAACAACCAAGATGCCCCACTACTGATGAATGGATAATTACACTTTAAAGGAAAATGAACTTGTTCATATTTTTGGTAGTGCTTAATAGAGTATTCAAGACTAAGGCATAGTACCAGTTGTCTCTCCTTCTAAGTGGATAAGCCAGGTCCTCTTGTCTTTTCTTCCTGTTTGAATTGAGGAACAGGATATACCCAGGTTTTGTGGGACATTTTAAGAAAAGAGGCATACTGCTTTTTTCCAGGTGGAGGGATGGTAACCGTTGTGGAGACCCAATAACAGTACCTTGTTATCCATAGTGTTATTTAACCTAGTTTCAAAATCCCCTAATTGATGTTTCTTAGGTGCAAGGAAGACATTCTAAACATTTAAGAAATGAATAGAATTTTTTTTTTTGTAGAAAGCAACTTATTTGAGGATATCACTTTAAAATGAAACTATGGGAAATATAAGAATAATCAAAAGGTGTCAACTCATTTTAAACAACCTGAAACCACATTTGTAATACAGAAGCCAATCTGAAAAGTCATGAAGAAATTTGAAAACAGAATGTGGTTTTTAAAACATTTTAAAAGCATACTCATTTTTGTTTCGTTGTGAATTTACTGCAGTGTTATAGGTACTTTCCATATCTTGTACCCAGAATGAATGTTTTGTAGATAGTGTGCTCCATGTTTTGAAACACTGAAGGAAAGCCACGTGTATACAGACTTCTCTTCATGCTTCTGTGTCTTAATAAAGCTGAGGATCACTATCTCTTTTCAGTAGTTCTAATGATTAGAATTTTATTTGAATGCATAGAAAATGTGATCCTAAAATCAATTCCTGAGAAGGTTAAACAACTCTCAGCTTTAAAATGTTCCTGTTCCAGTAAGAGATTAAAGTAGTGTTTGCGGCTGCAGTCAGCAGCTGCAGCCACTTGTTCTCCTTTAGCACTGGCTAAGGACTGGTAGTGGACAGATTGGACTGAGCACATCGTATGTTTCTCTCTTGGATTTGGTTTGCACTTTGGGTCCCTCATGAGCATTTCAGTTGTTTCTTGCAAAGAAAAGTAAAATTGTGCGAAGGGGAATGGAAAACTCACAAAAATGTATTGAAATGCTCTTACATTTTGGCAAGATGACTGTTTCTGAATTGACGTCTGCCTCTTTGACCAGGGAGACTGGCGGTGAGAAGTTACAACTCCAAAGCGAAGCTGTTTTCTTGTGACCTTTGCGGAGATGCCCAGGGCTGCAGTCCTTGTGAGAAGACTTCAGGGTCTCTTCGTCACTCCCCAGTCCTCTTCATTTTCTATTTCATGCTTCTATGTTCATTGCAACATTGGCTGTGATTTATTTTTTACAGACTTTATGTAAAACTAACATTTCTAAAACAATCACGTGATTGTTTTCTTTTCATAATTGAATATTGCCTTTGACTATTTTGAAGAAATTTTTTTTCTTTCAATGGGACTCATTGCAGGGGGCAGGGATATTCCTAGAAGGTTGTGTTGCATTGATCTCTTCACCTGACTTTTGTGTGGAAGAAAATCAGAATGATTGCAGTTGCATGTCTTTACTTCCCCCTCTTGAAATCTTTTAGAATTTTTTGGGGGGAGAATTTTTTTCTCCAGAATGAAAGTATTAGATTATTCTTCTCATTTTGTTAAATCATGAGCATAGGAAGTTTGCTTTAGTATTAATGATGGATTTACCTGGGGGATAGTGGGAGGAGCTTGTTCCCTTCTTTCCCACCTCCAATCCAACCCTGCTGCGGGTTCCCACCCCATGGTCTCTGTAGAGCTTTCCTAACTGGATATTACTTCTTTATTTTTGTAGAATGTTGGTGGTAAATTTTTTAAAGTTCAATTGTCTTTTCTACTCTAGCTCCGACCACATGCCCAGAAGTTACCCTTCCTCTCTTTTTCTTCTGGAGAGAATGAGGGGGGTGATGTGTTTTCCTGTGTTGTGCTGACTCATTCAGAGAGTGAGGACACATTGGTAACTGTCTTCAGGGTTAATAGGCGCCCTCTCCCTCTCATGTCCTCAGCCCCACGCACCACCTCTGCTTCAGGGTGAGAGTGCTCCGTGTGCCTTTTGTGACTTGGCTCAAAAGAGCCTAGGCCTGGAGACACAAGGTCACAAGAAAGACTGTATAAGTTGCAGTCCTCTCTGTGGTCTGGGAAAGAAGGTGGGGCTGGCAGGGCATAAAGAGTCTTGGCATGATTGCTGACCTGAAGTGTGGTAGTGTTGGTAAGGGGTCCTGCAGAACATCTTCTAGGCTCAGGGGTCTGAGCCTCAGACGGCCAACTGTCTGACATCTGATGCTTACTGTGAATCTTAAGAAGATTCCTAAATTTTGAGCCCTCAGATCATTGGTTATCTTTATTTTGTAGGGTAATATTCATTTATCTGGGTGAGAATTTTAAAAGAAAAATTCTTTTCCAGTTCTTTTCCTCTTGTTCTTCCTTTTTCCTTTTCTTCCTTCCTTCCTGGGTATATTGAAATAGTTTATATATGTTAAGAATTAAGGATTTAAAAACTAAATCCAAGAAGTGGTTTAAGTTTGCTCCTTAACTCCACGGTTTTATTCTCAAGTGTACATGGAAAACTAATTGCCAAGGGTTCCAAAGAGTTTGCTTTATAGTATTTTTAGTTATTTAAAAATAATCAAAGGCAAAGTATATAAATACATTATTTACAGTTAATTTTAGGAGTAATGCTTTTATTTCATTAGTTTTAAGAAATTATAGTGGAGTGGACATTCATGTATTGCTTATGGATACTTTGGATACCAAGGGAGAAATGATCAACAGCCAGTATTTTAATGCTTGCATCTTAGAGTTAGAACATAGATCCTCAGACTGTGATATATGAGGAGACTGGTTAGATATCAAATGAACAAATTTTTATATTTATATTTTCAAATGAAGAAAAGTTCTTGATCTTTTACACCTTAGAAACAGTCTATTCTAAAAAAGGCACGTTTTGTGTTTGGGTCTCCCTGTGATGAAGTCTTGGCTTTCATACTCTTTTTTTTCCTTTAGAGATGAACTCATACTGAAGTTGGAGGAGAGTGTTGGCAAAGGATGTCCTCTCTTGTCCTGCCCAGGGAACCTTGTAATGACTGTCAGTACCTTATATTCTGCAGTGAATAATTTATACTGATTGTTTACCTCTGTATATTAGGAAACAGTAGAAAGAAAAGGCTACTGGAAGACAGATCGTTTTAGATTTGAAAGAAAAATCCTTAAGTGAAATCTCCTTCATTTAAAAGCTAGAATCTGGCCTGGGGACGTGGCTCAGTGGTAGAGCTTATGCTACATGCTCATTGAGACCCTGGGTTTGATCTCTGATGCCCAGCACTGGTAACAAATAAACTACCACTAGAATTTAAATACGTTTTTGTAAAGTACTTTAGATTTCCAGGTTAAAAGTTACCTGCAATTCATCTCATTTTATTAAGAGTGAGGATGAGGCAGAGGAGGAGAGGGGTTGGTTATCACCGCCTCATGCTGCACACATGCTGCACCTCATGCTGCACACAGGCTTCATATTTCAGAGAACTTGCTCTGCTACAAGCAGTGGGCTTGGACTGGAAGTGATCAAAAGGCCACAGGCATAGGGAGAAAAAGTACATGTAGTAGTAATAATGCTACAGATATTTTCTTCACATGCTATGAGTAGTAATATTAAAAACCTCATTTAACCTTTAAGTTTGCTTATGTGGAAGCTCATCCATTGAGAAGACTGTCAGCCCCACTCACTGTTATGAACTAATTTAAAGTCTAGCCCTTCTTTTTCAGTGCCATGAGGCTTAAGACACCAGCATATCTCACTTCTATTTTTCACTGGCCCATAGTTCCAGAGACTTCATCTTGGGAATAACCAGTAGCTAGAAAATTCTAGGACAGAGCAACACTTTAGTACTTGGATTCTCCATCTTATTATTCTTAGTTACAGTTTTAAAAAAGAAATGAAAGCATATTAAAAGGTGCCCAGTCGATGAAATGCCTCCTTTGATGGTGCTGTCCCACAGCACTTTTCTTTTAAAATATTTTAGAAGTAGTGTTATTGGTTTAGTGCTGTAGTTATGGTGTAATGCAGGCAGCATTGTGATCATATAGGATGCAGATATACAGCTATTACCCAGCAGTTTGTTACTTATCTATGCGATGCCGTATCCTACAGGGGCAGTTTTCAGAATTATAGGCATAACTCTCCCTGCTCCTACTGTTTGGAACCTGAATATAATGGGGTTTTTTTAAAGTCATATTTAGTCTCTTATACTAAGTATAGTTATAAATAGTCTGGTAATGTAATGTTAATCATCTTTATTTTGAAATAATTTAATTATTTCTTTTGACATTTCTGGCCATCCCATGATGTTTAAAAAATTGGAGCTATGACTTTTTGCCATTTTTTAAATTAAAAAAAAGCCATTATATTAACCTCTAGCATATAATCTGGAGTTCTTTGTAACATTCCCTTTTAATTTGTTTTATTGAACTATTGAACACTCGTTTCTATAAAATACGTTGTAAATACCTCCTTGGCAATATTTCTCAGCCTAAGGGTGGTCATTATTTTGAGTCTGCTAAGTGGCTGGCATGGGTCAAGGTACTGTCATGTGTTCTTGGGTGCATCATTTCTTGCATGGTGTAAATTTACGACACTTACAGTAAGTGGACTCACTGTTAGACGTGCTTCAGAGCCTTTCACAGTCTCAGTGGGCTCTTCTGTTAGGCGGCAGAAGGTCACGTTCCTCATTTTCCTTTGTTCTCAAACTCCACTAAGGCACAGCACTTTTAAGAAGTTAAAAGTTTCTTGTCATTTTTTCAATGATATTTATGTTACTATTAAATATATTAAGTTACATTGAGAGTAGTTTGAGGTGATTCTTACTCTACTTTGAACAAAGGACCATTATTCTGTTTCAAGAAACTAAGCAGTAAATACAACGTTTTAATTAAGTATATATCAAGGAGAATAGGCTTGTTTTGAAACTATTTCTAGGCAGTGAGTTCTGTTTTCTTGTGCCTCATCAAAAGATAATGCCACATTATTTCTTTCCATAAAATGCATTGCATTTTCGTTTAAATTTAACACAGAAAAACATTTCCTAGGTGGGTTCCATGGTTCTCTCTTCCAAGGACATTTACAGAGAGTCTGTGTGTGTCTGTAGTAGGGATGATTTTTTATGTGTATTGCTATATTTAGAATCTTCCCATCTCATTTTCACGGGGCCAAGATTTACCACTCTTCTGCACAGCATATCAAATTGTAGAGGGCAGCATGCATTTAATTCTTAGATTTTTAGTATTTATCTTTGATAGCTTCAATGGAGTGTGATTTGATTTTGATCCTTCAAGCCTTTATGTTTTGGACTTTTAGTAGGTTACAATTGACATGGTGAGAGCAAGTCACTTTTGTATACAGTAAGCTTTATAAAGTCTCATTTATAAGCCCCCTATTTTGAGAAGATGTTTTGCATATAAGAAGAGTACTGTTGAAATAAAACGTTATTTTTTTTAAGAACAAAAACTTTACATATCGATTGAGGTGATTCTAAAAGTTTTATTTTAAATGTTAGAATTTATTTAAATGTTATGTTATTGTTAATTGTACTGTACTCAATAGGAAATCATGGTTTACCAATAAAAATTGAAAGTTCCTATCTATTTATTATCTGGGTTCTTTTTATTTTAGCTTCAAGTGTGTTTGTAGCACACCTCCTTTATCTAAGTCTGTTTAATTATGAGAAATGGGATGTTTGAGGTCTTTTAAAGCATGCATTAAAAAAAATATATGTTGCAAGATGTTGACATGTGCGGTTTAAGAAATTTGGTCATACAACCTCTCACCTTTATTTTCATTCTTTGTTTTAGTGCTGTGTGGGGTCTATGGAGAGGTGAGTGATACACACACACACACACACACACACACGCACACACACACATAGAAATTGATGTTAGATGAGCACTCACTCTACTTATGGCAACTATATAGAATACAGGGTTTGTGCCCACAGAGAAGCATGGACTATCACATCCAAAGTGTGACACTTCAGGTACAGTTTCTTGATTACCGCTATTGTTGTCCAATGTTTCTTTCTTTCTTTTTTTGGTGGCACTGGGGTTTGAACTTAGGCCCTCACACTTGCTAGGCAGATGCTCTTATTGCTTGACCTACTCCACCAGACCTTTTTTGTGATGGTTTTTTGAGGTAGGGTCTTGTGAACTATTTGCCCCAGGCTGGTTTCGAACTGTGATCCTCCTGATCTCTGCCTCCTGAATAGCTAGAATTACAGGTGTGAGCCATTGGCACCCGACTTGATGTTTATTGCCACAAAATTTCTGGATCTCTGTGAAGCATTAAGGATAGCATAGTGTTTCTCAAGTCGTGATTTTGTAGTTGGGTGACAATGTTTGGCGGTAGTTTTGATTCTCACAACGGGAGGTAATTCTGTTGGCATCAAGGGGGTAGAAACCAAGGATGCTGGTAAACATCCTGGAATGCATGAGACAGCTGCCTACAACAAAGAATTATTTGGCCCAAAATATCAAAGGTTTGAGAAACCATGTAGACAAGTGTCGCTGGGCACTTCTTGTTTACCTAGTATTTCAAATGATTAATTTATTCCTCTTTACTGCTATGGTTTGAATGTGGTTTGTGCCCGCCCAAACTCATGCTGATGCTTAATTTCTCAGTGCAAGTGCTGTTGAGAAG